TCGTACCAGGTGCGATTTAACAGAAAAGTAGAGCTCAGATGTTGTATAGTAGCCAACACTGATCCAGAATGATGAGAAGAGCAACAGGCTACCATTGTGGCTTCAGTTTTCTCCTCCTGAATGATAGTAGTTCTGGAATTGAAAATGCAAATATGATTACAACATTACAATTAAAGCATGAGTTTTTTTAACAATCAGAAGTTTAGCTCTTGTGCTATAGTCTAGACCAATGTGTTCAAACTTTAAGCCAGCTTTCCTGTTGCTTTTAGTGAAAGATAAGTATTATTGTCCTTTGCCATGAGAACCTCTGAGGACAATGGAAATTATTAGATACAAAGCTCAGTCCTTCTGACAGTAGTTGGAGGTACTTAGATTTTTTTTCACTTTCTTCATAAGGAAGATGTGGACCTCGTCTTATCTGGTAACGCCTAAGAATTCACAACCAATGAAGGGGATAGAAAGGTGAGACCAGCAGAGTTAAACCCAAGGGATACGTAAAGATCCCAGTGATCAGGATCTTTACAGGGTCAGCAGGTGGCGTGGTGGTTAAGCGTGTTGGACTCCCATGTGGCCTACTACAGTTCGAGTCCCAGACCTGGTAGCTTGCTTTCTCACTTTCTATCTGTCTCTCTCTCTCTGGTCAAATTAAAGTTAAAATAATTATTTAAAAAAAAAAAAGATCTCAATGAGCCTACTGCTTAGTTCCAGCCACAAGCTGCAATCTGTAGACACAGCTCTCAGGGTAGGTTCAAAACTTGCCTCCACCTAGAGGAAACCCATTGAAACCAGAAAATTATTGAGGCCAGCAGATGGCGTAGTGGTACGTCATTGGACTCCCACATGGTCGACCGTGGTTCAAGTCCCAGGCACAATGGCTTGAAAATCACTCTGGGCAGGCCAGCAGGTAGCATGGTGGATAGGGATGATGGACTCCCACAACTGACCCCAGTTCGAGTCTCAGACCTGGCAGTTTGCTTTCTCACTTTCCCTTTCTCTCTCTTTGTCCCTGTCAAATTAATGATGACGACAAATGGAATTAAAGAAATAGTTCCTTTAAAAAAATAAGAGAAAATCACTCTGGGCATGTGTGTATGTGTGCCCAAGATCCCAGGAAGAGAATGGAGAAGGAATTGGGGTGTGATTTCTCACTCTCTTTCTCATCGTCTCTGTCTCTCTAACAAGTGCATGCACCCTATGGCAAAAACTTTTTAATTATTAAAATTTTTTATGTAGCACTCTCTTAGACCCAAAGGGGGACTAATCTCTGTTATTAGGACAGTAGTTACTCCTGGTGGGGAAGGGACAAGTTCTTGGAGTACAGCGATGATCCTTTTTCAAGTTTTGCCATAAGACGTGTGCTCGTTGAAGAAAGACCGTGAGAGAGGGAAAGTGAGAAATCACTTCCCAGAGAGGATAGCCACACTAGACCCTTCTCCATTCTCATCTCAGGATACTGGGCATATACACACATGCCCCTTGTGATCCTCAAGGTGTATGATAGAGGTAAGTCTTTATCCTACATTTTAGCTGGCTTTCATCCCCTATTTATTGGGTCGTCAGGAAAGTCAGGATGCATTTTTGCATAGAAAAACAGAAAGATATGTCATGACTTTCCTGACCTAATAGTTTAGGCTGCAAGTAGATACAGATATGGAAAGAAAAGAGAACCTCCTATTATTTTGACACTTGTACCTTTCCTTTCCAACACTGGTGTAGTGTAAGGAAGGGAGTTCAGGAGCCAGACAGTGGCACGGTGGTAAACTGTGACTGTGAGGCAATCCCATGTGGAAAGTGCCTAGTTTAAGTCCAAAAGACTCCTTGAGTTAAGCCCAAGGAACACGTATCCACTATCTGGTATTGGCCAAAGGCTAAGGTGGACTGCAGCAAGACCCTGTTGGCAGGGCTTGTCTCACTCATGGAAGAGATAAAACTTGAAGGAAAAAAAATATGTCAAGTTCAGAAGACCTTTCTGAACAATTCCTGCAGAATGAGCCTTAGGCTGAGACAGTGACGGGGTGATTATGTGGCTAGGTGGATTTGCACACTCCAGGGTGCCAAGGCATGGTGAACAAACCAACCAACCAGACTCCCTCTTCCATCTCTTCTCCTTCCCAAACCCTCCCCACTCAGCCAAAAACTCAAAAAGATAAGGGTGGAAGAAATGGGAGCAGGAAAGAGGAAGATGAGAGAAAAAATGTTGGGGCAACAAAGGGAAAAGACTGATTGTTAAAGGCCATGAAGAATGGGGAGATGGTGGATGACGGACACAGGAGTTAGTGAAGGGGAAACAAGTGTCATGGTCACATGTAGAAAGCATTCTTCATGCTTCCATAGGTTACTCGTATCTATTTTAAACCTAGACATTGCAATTCAGGAGTAATACCCAGTGAGACAGAGGATTCCTCTGCAGACACTGGCTGGTCAGCCATGAGTGGGACCTAGGGATCCCAAGCTGTGAAGTTGCCACCACTGAGTCGCACAGCACAGATTGCGTAGGAGCCTGGTGCTGCGGCTCTCCCCTCACTTACCCAATCAGGAAACCATCTGGTCCACACCCACTGTGGAACGGTCTGAGGAATAGCCATGAGTCCCAGTACAGCATGAGAACTGTGGAGCCCTCGAGGCACTAGAAAGTTCTGTGACCATGGTTCTTCACCTTCATTAAATAAAGGACTATTGTGCTCCCTTCGGCAGCACATATACTAAAATTAGAACGATACAGAGAAGATTAGCATGGCCCCTGCGCAAGGATGACACGCAAATTCATGAAGCGTTTCATATTTTTGAGGAGTGGGGCCTGGGGAAGAACATTTGGAGGAGGGATACGAAGACAGCATTGTTGAGACAGGGAGGTGGTAGTGTTATATTTTTATCAACTCGACCGGGGAGAAATGTTCATATATTGAAATGATCACCTTGTAAGCTAAATAATGTGATTGAATGTACTTAAAAAATGTAAAATAAAAAATTTAAAAAATAAGTAAATAAAAATAAAGGACTATTCATGACAATCCTAAAATTCTAGTTCCAGTTAGCAAATTGGTCTGTCAACCTGAAAGCTCAAGGGGGACTGAGTAGCCTTGTGGTTGAGGGAGTCAGATCCCACATGGCCTACCAGGGTTTGGGTCTGGCCCCAGCACCCTGGAAAACACGACAGGCATGCATGTGTGCATGTGCTCACACCCCACCGATGTGTGTGTAGGGGTGCTCTTTCTGGTGAGCACACACTCTCAATTTTAAAAATAGCTGGAGAGTCTGTTGTCATGAGAGTATAACCCACCCCAGGGGCCAGAGGGTGACGCAGTGGTAAATGTAATGCTCAGAGAGGCAGACGGTCTGCAGACCTGCCTGAGTTTGCCAGACATACATGGCCGTGATCTGGGGCAGGCTGAAGCTCGGGGTCGATTGCAGCATCAGGACCCTATTTAAGGGGCACAAGAAATACTTATTCATTGTTTGTTTTTTGTATGGGGCCAGCAAATGGTGTAATGGTTAAGTCACTAGACTCCCACGTGGCTCACCGCAGTTCGAGTCCCAGACCCAGCAGCTTAAAACACACTGGGTATGTGTGAGTGCATGCCCAAAATCCCAATAGAACAGACTGGCATGGCCAGCCCCCTCGGTGGTGATTTCTCACTCTGTCTCTCCAGTGAGCACATGCACTCTATAGCAAAAATCTCTCCAAAAAAAAGTATTTTTAAATTTTTATTGCCAGAGGATGTGTGTCTATGCCAGAGAGAGAGAGAGAAGAAAGTAGCCCCCTAATGGTGCATAGTCATGCTGCAATCCCTTCTCCATTATTTCATCCTGACTGGATTTTGGGCTCATATGAACACACACCTGGCATGTTTTTTAAACTGCCAGGGCTGGGATTCAAACCACAGCCAGCCATATGGGATCTGGCTCCCTTAACCATTAGGCCACAGGCCAGTCCCAAAAGAAATAAGACTTTTAAAAAAATGGGGCTAGCAGGACCAGCAGTTAGCATAGTGGCTATGTCACTGAACTCCCATGTAGTTGACCGCGGTTTGAGTCCCAGACCCGGTGGCTTAAACTCACGCCGGGCGCATGTGCATGCATGCTCAAGATCCCAAGAGGAGAATGAAGAAGGGATTGCAGCATGGCCATCCACCCTAGGGGGTGATTTCTTGCTTTCTGTCTCTCTCTTTCTGGCGAGCACACGCGTCCTATAGCAAAAAAAAAAAAAAAAAACTAAAAAAAAAAAATGGGGCCAGCTAGTGGCATGGTGATTAGGGTAGCTGGATCCCATATTGCCAACTGGACAGTTTTAGTCCCAGACTCAAGAGCTTGAAAAACACATCATGTGTGTGTGCGCAGTGTGTGTGCGCCCAAACACCTGGAAAAAGAATGGAGAAAGGATTGGGGCACAGGCATAAATCCTGGAGGGTGGGGGTCCCTTTTTACTTTCCCTCTTGTTCTCTTGCTCTTGCTCCCTCTCACTCATTCTCCAGCAAGAACATGTTCCCTGTATTGAATCTGAAAACTGGAAAAATGGTCACAATGGTAAATTTGAAAAACAAAACCAGGACCAACAGGTGGTGTGGTAGTTAAGGCACTAGACTCCACATGGGAGTCAGTTTGAGTTCTAGACCTGGTGGCATGAAACACACTGCCCCAAATCCCGAGAGCACGGAGAAGGGATGGCGGTGTGGCCATCCTCCCAGGGGGTCATTGCTCACTTTTCCTCTGTCTCTCTCCAGCGAGCACACACACCCTCTGGCAAAAACCAAAACCAAACAAACAAACTCCAACCTACCGCACAACCTGCTTCATGTGATAATTGTTTTGTGGTACTTAGCTATGCATTTCCTTTACAAAGTTCTTACCAAAGTTACACATACAGGTAAAATATGACCACCCTAGAAATACACCTCTAAGGGCTCTGAAAAGCACCAGCTGCTTTCCCGTCAGTAGGAAAGTGGCTGAGCAAGTGGGTGACAGCCTGATGGGGTCAGAGGAAAGAATGGGCACAGTCCATGTTCGGCAGGAAGGTTCCTTTATGGTGGCAAATCTGATAATACACAGTTCTAGAGTAGGGCCTCAGTCACTGGGCCACATGGGGCAGGAAGGAGCAGGCCTGAGAAGGACCAGCACACTCCAGGGATCATGTCACACGGATACTCACACCAGGAATGACCGCCCACGTCCCTCCCTGCAGCTCAACCCACCCACCAGTTCAGTCAAGAACCATGTTGCTTTAATTCTTCATTTTTGGTAACTGAAGATAAAATTCACCATGATGACAGGATTTCAGCAAAAGTCTCTTTCCAGTCGCAAGAAATATGGATGTCCAAGCTTTTGATGAGAAACGAAAGTCCTTTTGACTTCTCTTGCAAGAACCAAAGAGAAATTTTTATGACCTTTACGATCTGTTGCAATATTTATATATACTTTTAAAAAAACACTAACAGTCCATTCTGTGCTCTGTTTCCCTGGAAGGTTTCTCATGCTCCCCCCCTCTCATAGCTAGAGGGGTTGAGTGTCTGGGAACAAAGAATTAAGACACTTTAAGCAATAAAAACCCTACTGCGACACCCTGAAGCAGACAGTGGGTGAAGGGGCATGAGGAGATGGCTGGCAGGTGCTGTGACTTAGGAGTGAGGGGCGGCCTCTCGGGAAAGCCTAATGGAGACACAGAAGCACTGATGAGTAGGACACGCTCCTGAGGAAGATGGCCCCAGGTAGAGAGCTGGGGCACGTACCTGCAGGGCACCTGCTCTTCAGCTTCTCCGGGCTGAAGGCCCAGCTCTGACCCTCCACCCACCCCGGTGACCTGCACACTAAGCTGGGTGGGCTCTGACTGAAACAGCGTTGACATGTGGTTTCTCAAGGACCCAGACAGAGTTTCTCTCCAGGCTGTTTCAAGCCAAAAGCCCCTGGGAGGCCTGCTTTCCCAGACAGCTGAGAGGCATGAAGGGCGAGGGCAAGAAAGAGGTTCGGAGAGGAACAGCAAAAGGTGTCTGGCAATGCAGGGGCAGTGGGCCTGGCTCTGCTGTGGGGTGACCTACTGCTTCCTTCTCCCTGTGCTGGGGACAGACTGTGATGAGTCTTTGCGGCCAGCAGCAGCTTTTACACACTCCCTGTTCCTTTCACACGTGTATATGGAGATATATATGTGTGTGTGTGTGTGTATATATATATATATGTTATTTTAAAATTGTAATAAATGCAACGGATTCAGGTTCATTCCCCTTTGCTGCTTGACCTTGCCTGAGGGGCTCATGCCTTCGGGCCTGCCGCCAGGCTCATCCCCCCCACCAAGGGAAAGTGGCCCCAGGTTGAGGAGAGAAAAGGACACAGGTCACAGTAGGTTACCAGGAAGGAGGAGGGCCTACCTCAATGAGACTTTTGTTTCTAACCCTGAGAACCTAAGGAATTGTGAAGGACTCGAAGAGGGAGCTGGGGTTAAAGGTCACCAGGCTTTTTATTGCAGTTGAAGCAGACTCGGACGGGATGGTCCCAGCCCCGAGACGGGACAGCCCGGCGGTCATGAGAGCACTCATCACAGAAGCCCTGTCCACAGGCCCGGCAGTGGTGCTTGGAGAGCTTGACGCTGAACTCCTTCCGGCAGTTGTGGCAGTGCAGGATCTCGTGGTCAGGCACCCAATAGGCCGGCCTGGCTGCATCCTTCACCAGACCTGTGACAGGGAAGGCACAGCAGTCAGGACAAACAAAACCCAACATCTGAGTCCCAGTGGGCAAGAAGGCATCAGACACGAGGTGGCTTGTAATCCCAAATGCATGCAGATCACCTACCTAGCTCTTAAAAACTGCAGGCCTCTACCACTTCCCATTCCAATCAGATTTCTTAGGGGCTGGGGCCTAGGCCCTGATACTTATTTATCTACTAAACTCTCCAGGTGATCCCAAAGTGCAGCTGCATTAACCATCACTGGATGAACTGTAAAGTAGGGGGGACTGTGGAGCCAGACACACCTTCACACAAATCCAGTTCCACTGAGCACAAGTTAATTAGTGGCTGCAGGATCAGTAGCAGGGACTTACTCATCTTTTTTTTGTTGTTGTTAATTTTTTTTTACTTATCTTTTTTTTTTTTTTTTGGAGAGGTTTTTGCTAAAGGGCACGTGTGCTCGCCAGACAGACAGAGAGAGAGAGAGATAGAAAGCAAGAAATCACCCCCCGGGGGGATGGCCACACCGCAATCCCTTCTCCTCCATTCTCCTTTCAGGATCTTGGGCACGCACGCGCACGCGCCCGGCATGAGTTTAAGCCACCAGGTCCAGGACTCGAACCATAGTCGACTATGTGGGAGTCCAGCAACATAGCCATTACGCTAACTGCTGGTCCCGTTGACTTACCCATCTTTAACAGTCCACCTTCAAGAGCTCTTATGAGGATGACAAGAAATGGCGTGTCTAACCTGTTGGCTGGGGACCTAATACCCAGTGCTCAGTAAGTGACCCTCGGTGAGATATTGGCAAGCCATCTGTGCCAAGGACAGCCCCTGCCTTGGCCAAGCATCCCTGAAGCAGCTGCAATCTGAGCTTCAAGCCTGGGCAAATGCTTCTATTCCTAAAGCCTTGAGCCTTAAGTCATTATCTGTTCATTTTGCAAGCCACAATGATTAAATATGATCCAAGCCATTCTCATCACCATCCACCAGAAGTCTTTGGTCTCTCCCCTACAAAGCATCAAACTATCCCAGGCCTGACCAACCCTGTCTAAGCCCTCTATGCCCTGGTCAGTTTCCGTTCCTCTCCTTCTTCCCATCCTGGCCACAAGTACCCCTCACCTCCAGAGCTGGGTAGCTATCTTAATCCTGAATTGATAACAGTCTGGCTTGTATGCAGATAAAAGCAGCCACACATTCTCTGACAAATCTTCCTGCCCTTTCCCTTCATTCTAAGCAGGCTCTGGGATTACATCAGACTATAGAAGACTACAGAAGTGCCAGTTTGCAGGCCCAGGCCATAGGAGATGGCAGCTGCTACCTATCTTTTGGAATGTTAGCACTTGAAGTCCTGAGCCTCCATTTAAGAAGCCCAACCACCACTGGTGATGAGAGTCTTAATGGAGGGGCTTAGAAAAACATGAAGTGAAGAGGGGCTCTGATGAACCCAAATGTCCATGGCACCTAGCAGCAAAGTGAGGCCAGTTTGCACCCTCAAGACCAGCCCAGCCACCATGCTGGAATATCAGGTAGTGACTCCAGGCAAGGCCATGTGGGGCAGAGTAACTACCCTTCTCAACTTCTAAACCATCAAAGTTGTAAGACACCATAAAATAGTTGTCTTAGACCTTTGCATTTTTTAAAAATTATTTAACTTTATTTTTTATTATTATTTAATTCGACCAGAGAGGGAGAGAGGCAACGTGAGAAAGCAAGCCACCAGGTCCAGGACTCAAACAACGGTTGGCCATGTAGGAGTACAGCACCCTTAACCACCACACCATCTGCCGGGCCCTAGACTTTTATATTTTAACATAATTGGCTACACAGCAATAAATGGTCTGAGGAGGATGTCTTCTTGGAATAAACATAAAACCACTAAGTTATTCAGCAGAGGCAAGCAAATATAAATTGGTTTGCCTATGCACATTCAAAAGAGAGAGTTAAGGCACTCCCCCCACAGGATCGCCTCCCGCCACACTGGGATCTCCTTTTCCTAGGTTTCCAGCTCCTTGGGATCAAAGGCATCCATACATGCCTGTGTGTTTTCAGGCTGACCTGGGCTCTGAACCCACAGCTGGCCACCTGGCTTCCAACACTGCAGTTCAGCACACTTATGGACCAGACCTAGGCTGGGCCCAAATGGAAACATTTAAGCGAGTCCTTGCTGCCCATTTCACTGTGAGTTGGTAAGCCTTTGACAAAGTGACAGCCCCAGGCTCATCCTGCATATGTACACCCGAGAGAAGCACTGCCAAGCCCACCTAGTGGTATGTCGATGGCTGTCACCACAGCTCCCAAAGTGTTCTGCACCGCCTCGCCCACCTTCCGAGCAATCAGTGTTCCGCCTTCATCGTCCGCCTGTGCCTCAGTGACATCTGTAGGCAATGAGAAGGAAAAAGCTGTGGCCTCTTAGTCATTTCCCTAGTGGAGAGCTCAGGGCAACACCAGAGCACTTCTGGATTCTTCTCCCAGGGTCCCACTGTGGTGTCCTGTAATAACTGCAGGGGTTTGGGCTGTGGGTGAGGTCAGCCCAGACCCTGAAATTGAAGACATCTGTTAGTCTTTTACCTGCAACCTCGTGGAGCTATTTTATTATCATCTTTTAAAATACGTCAGAAAGGTTCTGGGAGCATGACCTAGCATCTTTTCTGGTCTAAGCCATCTCCGTTAAACACTGCAGCCTTCTCAGCACTCAGCTGCTGTGAGTGCATTTCCTTCCCTCAGACATTCTCTGTAGCTCAGGTCACAGCACAGGCTCAGTGCCCTGAGGCCCAGCACCCACAGGACTCTGTTACCAACGTGCTAGAAGATGACTGGCCAAGACTGCACAAATGATTACTCTCAGAAGAGTGATGCGCTTACCAACCGGGCTAGGAAGCCTCATTCGAGATGAGACTGTGCAGGGTCCACCAGTGTCCACCAACTGTTCATGTGGCTAAATCGACACAGAGGTTAGGCTTCCCCTACTAAGTGTACTGCCGGGCTGAAAACGAGACCTGGCACATTTTGCTAATAAGCTCAGCTGCTAATGAGTGAAAGCATGTGACAATAGAAAAATACTGACTTTTCAATATTAGAAACAATTAGGGATTAATGTACTCATATAATTTCAACACTTTCCCAAAATATCATATGGTTTCTACAATTCAACATTTAGAGAAGGGGAAAAAAAAAAAAAAGAGGAAGAAGGATGGGGTTGGGCATGTGGGAGTCCACTTCCCAACACCCAGCACCAAGGAGGGAGGTTCTCCCCCTCCACCCTTGCAGCTCCCGGGCCCCACGTTACCTAACTGGACATTCCTGGCTTCGTAGCAGTTGTCACACACCCGCACGGGCGCAGGGCCCCAGCCCCGTTCGGGCACTGGCCGGGTCTTGGATGAGCAGCTGTCACAGAAGCCCTCCCCACAGGCCCGGCAGTGATGCTTAGTGTCGTTATCCTTAAAGGAGATCTCACACTTGTTGCAGCTCTGTTCCAAGCCCAAAACAAAACAGAGAGGCAGCGATCACACACGTCTGCTCGGCTGAGAAAGCCAACAGGACCCGTGGGAACAACTAGACACCAAGGGAGGTAAATTTTAACTCTCAGGACAAAAACCGTCCAGTAATGAGTATCTGAGAGCAGAAAGGAAGCCCGGTGAGGAGTGAGTTTCCCATCATGAAGTGGGCAGTGCTCCCTTGCTGAAGATGCTGTAGAGATTTATGTATGAAGATCGTGATGACCTAAATGATCCCTGAAGGCCTTTTTCCCTCCAGATTCTGCATCTGTGATGCCAGATCTCTGTGCAGTGTGAACTGGCCCCCAGAAAGGAAACTAAAGCCCACCAGAAGGAAAATGCCTGCACAATAACACAAAAGGAAATCAGGGAACAAAGAGGAAACCGGCTGCCTCACTGCTGCCTCCCACTCCGGGGCGCGCAGAGCTAATTCTGTGCCTCTCTCCCAGAACAAGCAGAGCACAGGGCAAAGTGGCATGCGCAGGACAGGCTGCCCAGCATACCAGGATCTGGGAGTTGGGTCTCCAGTAGGCAGGAGCGATCTGGTCTGTTAGCCAGGAGGTCACAGCCTTGGTGGGCCCCAGGCTAAGCTCGGACACTGACTGAGCCATGAAGTTCATCCCATCCAAAAGGCGCTGGGCAGCATTGTTGTTGTCCTTTAGAAATCCATCTGTCTGAAATGAAAATGCAGGCTCCCGTCATACTTGGAGTGAAGGAAGTAAAAGGAACGTGGGGTCTCTAGTGAGCTGTACACTCACCACTCACAACCATAAACTCTCTAGCAGGGAGGACGGAGACAAGGCAGAAACCTCTCCAGTTCCAGTCACTGCTGCGCCCACCCAGTTGTCACTGATTTACTGTCTTCAGGGGGCCCATAAGACTTGATGCGCCGATGCTGAACTCAGGACTGACTACCCAAATGGTGCAGGGGACGATACCTCCTCCAGGAAGGCCTCTCCGCAGGCTCAGTGAGAAGGTCTTCATCTCAGTTCTCTAATACCTGTACATCTTAGAACTCCTATTTCTGTGTGGAAGTGCAGAATCTATGTACGTATCCAACCCCTGATAGCTGTGACCTCTCCAAGAACAATAACCCATCACTTTCATTTCAGTATTTTTGCAGAGTGTCTAGTGGAACTTAGGACATATAGCACTCAACAAAATGTACTGAGCTGTTGGAAAAGTCATGACACATTTTTAAACAGAAAAATACATCATGACTTTTCCAATAACCCATTATTAATATAATGACTGAATGAATGAGAGAACAAACGAAAGGGAAGTGCCTCTATTCTTCTAATCCCAAGAACTATGAAGAATGCTGTCTAAGAGTAAACTAGTGAATTACTGTTTTCATGGACTATAAAATTATTTTACTACTTACATATTCTCACTTTAGAACACTGAACTCTGTAGACATGGTGGCCCAAACCATCAGGCCAAGGGAATGGGCTCAAAAAACGAGACTCTACACAAAAAAAAAATCAGTGGGCCTAAAAACTAGGGGGAAATAAGGAACTCTTCCAATTTTATGGCACCTGTAGGATTCAGTAAAGCCCAAAGGTGGGGGCCAGCAGGTAGTGTGATGGTTAGGGCGCTGGACTCTCACATGATCAACCGCAGTTTGAATCTCGGACCTGGCAACTTGCTTTCTCACTTTCCCTCTCTCTCTCTCTCATTCTGTCCCTCACTGGTAGGAAAGAAGGAAGGGAGGAAGGAAGTATAGACAGAGAAAGAGAAAAAGAGGAAGAGAGAAAGAGAAAAGAAAAGGAAGGGAGGAATGGAAAGGAGAAAAAGAGAGAGAAGGAAAGAGGAGAGAGAAAGAGAAGAGAGGGAGAAAGAGAGAAGAGAGAAAGGAAGGAAGGAAAAGAAAAGGAAGGGGAGGAAAAAGGAAGGAAGGAAGGAGAGAGAAGTAGAGAGAAAGAGGAGAGAGAGAGAAAGGAAGGGAGGAAGGAGAGAGAGAGAGAGAAAAGGAAGGAGGAAGGAAGGTTTAAAAAAATATTCCAAGAGACCAGTAATTAGCGTAATGGCATCGCTGGACTCCCCATGTAGTGGACCATGCTGTCTACAGTAATCCCACTCCTTAGAATATGAGAAAATTTTCCGGGACCAGCAAGTTGACCGCAGTTCAAGTACGAGTACCAGATCCGGTAGCTTAAACTCACGCTGGGCACGTGTGCGTGCATGCCCAAGATCCTGAGAGGAGAAGGGAGGAGAAGGGATTGCGGTGTGGCCATCCCCCCTGGGGAGTGATTTCTCGCTTTCTGTCTCTCTGTCTGTCTGGCGAGCGCAAGCACCCTATAGCGAAAACCTCTCAAAAAAAAAAAAAAAAAAAGAGAGAAAGTTTTCCAGTATAAAGAAATGGCTTGAAAATGGTCACTATAGCATTTTCTTTGATTCAAAATCATAAATGTCCAAAGAAATGATGGTGAATCCTACTATATCACTGGACAAAATACGACAGTGACTAAAAATGAGAATCCTAAAAAGTAGAAGCAATGTGGAAACAGAACTAAATAAAATTGTGTTATAAGGGTTAAAAAGCAGAAAAATGGCATGTAAATTATAATTGTATCTATAAAAACATATGAATATTGAAAATAAATGAAAAGAACATAAAAAGAGTGAAATTATCTTGCCAACAGAGCAGAACTGGATTCACTTTGACTTTACTTAAAGCTGTGTTCCTATTGTTTAGGTAGGAACTGTTTAAAACAGGTAAAGGTCTAGAACAAGAAAAGGTTCTACAGACTGTGCCTTCCAAACCACCAATATATTGAAATTCATGGTTAACTTTAATTCTAGGCCAGTTCTTCTTTTCCACATGCATGCAGCTATGTAACAGAAAGAAGAGAATAAAACCATTCTTACTCCAGGCCACACGTGCACAATCTCTGTGCGCACCACCGTATCCACAGGATCTTGGTTCCCAAACCAGTACTGCCGGCTACGGTAGACCACGCCACAGTTAGGACATTCGATCACATACCTACAAGGGAGACAAACACACACTGTTACCCAGTCAAGTGCCCAGAGAGACAAACACCAGAAAACCTTTAGCTATGTTAAACTCACCCAGACCAGGCATACTTCGCAAGACCCATCCAGGGAGAGTCGGTGGAAGCAGATGTTTTGGGCACTACGCTGACTTCCTTGCCTCTCTCATAGCAGGCCTGAAACATGGAGTACTCTGCCAGCTTATTCTATACACACCAGGTCCCACAGCCCCTCACGCCCCCAGCCAGACCAACTCCCTGCAAACCATGCAACTCAGGGCTACAGACCCCAGGTTAGTCACTCAGCAGAAGGTTCACTTCGCTGGAGAAGCCAGTGCCTTGAATAGTAATGAACAGACTACCGACCCATCCTAGGCCCAGAAATGGAACTCTAAATTACATAACTGTCACAGACAGGAGACATCAGTCAACATATGTGCTTAAAGAGGGCTTCTGTTCTTAAAAAAGATGAATGATGACCATGGTCCTTACATACAAAGCTCAAAAGAATAAGGGGAAATAAGCTTAAAAATAAAATAAAATAAGCAAAGGAGGCCTCAGCAATGAGGCCATGTGAGTTCTTTAGGTTAGAGCTGGGGAAAAGTTCTAGAGATATTCAATTTGAATATCCAATACTTTGGGACGCAACAAAGGACAGGCCCAAAACACCTTTTCGAAAAAAAGAGTGTACCCAGCAAACCAGTTCTGGAGCACGGAGAGGCTTGGAGACTCACCTTGCAGGTATAAACGCGGTTGTCATACTGGTGGGAGTAACTGCAGCGGCTCTTGGCTTCGTGAGGCACTCCTTCCTTCCCATGGTTCATGCTATTCTTACATCCAACCCTAAGAGAAGCCCCAAACGGAAAATGAGACAGCTAAAGGAGCCAAGGCCACTAATGCACAAGAGTCTGACCCTGAGCCTGGTACAGGGCCAAACCCAGATCCTGGTTACCAACTGGGCCTCGGATGCTGGACAGAGGGTGCTGGGCAGCCGCCCACATGCCTTTCTGTACACTGGCAATCGACAGCACTCCAGAGGCATGGCAACTGCAACCCTTGTGTGAGGAAAACGGGAAAGGGCAATCTCTTCTCAGAAAAACGACAGCCCCTTAGCAGACTTGAGAGCCAGGTAGCAACTTGACCAGAGATGAAACCTAAATGGCTCTTAGGAAACTAAAACATCCAAACAGGATGAAATGGAAAAGTTTAACCAGAATAGGCTGCCAAGACGCAAAACAAAACCAACCTCCAAAAGTTGGCAGTGCAATAAGAGGCGGCTTAAACTGAACAAGAAAAACCTCCCAAGCGAACAGTGAGCTCTGCCATCCTGACAACGCAAAAACAGAGATGAGGACTTTAGAATTTCACCATGATAAAAGGGAAAGTTCTGGAAATCCTGGTAAGGCTCAGTTAGAATGGAAAAATGATGATCCAACAGTGTTTAAGTCCCTCATGCTGTGCTCATGGGGCAAACGAGAAGGAAAGAAAAATCATACTAGCAAATAACACCCTTATCCCCTTTCCAAGCTGAACTCTCCAAGACAACCTTTAGGTCTCTTAATCCAACTACCAAGTACATTTTATTTTATTTTATTGATTGTCTGTAGTTTTTGCTATAGGATGCAAGCCCTCATCAGAGAGAGAGGGAAGAGAGAGAAACTGAGAAATCACCCCCTCCCCGGGGGGGTGGGGGGGAGATAGCCACATCACAATCTCTTCTCTTTCATTCTCCTCTCCTGATTTGTGGGGATGCACATACACACACCTGGCATGATTTTCAAGCTACTGGGTCCAGGACTCAAACTACATGGTCGGCCATATGAGATCCAGCAACCCTGACCTCCGTGCCACCTGCTGGACCCAAGCCAGGTCCTTTCTAACAAGGTCAAAGTGGCTCAGAACTCAAGTGGCCACCCATGGGGTTCAATGCAATAATGCCATACATAACGAAAGTAGGCTCAGATCTCCTCCTATAGATGAGTTAAATGTGGAGGACACATGGTCCTGATGGGAGCAAACACAATTTGGTGGTACAGGGTGGTGGAGTGTCTACAGGACATAGAGCCTGTGATGTGACCTTGACATACTGCATTTAAATCCCTGGGTCCATGAGACAAGTCATCAGATGGTGATTTAATTGCCAGTAAAGTTTCAAACAAATCCAATGATCCTCACAGTGTGGACCATATAGGCAACATCAACATCACCTGGGAATTTATTAAAACTGCAAATTCTCAGGCCCTACCTTTGACCCAGAGTCAGAAACTGTGGTGGTGGAGCCTCACATCCTGGTTTAGCATGCCCTTTGGGTTTTCCTGATACAAGCTTAAATGTGAGGATCACATTCTACAGGCCAGCAACATAAGCAGCACACAGGAACTTGTCTGAAATACAGACTCTCCGGACCAGCAGATGGTGTAATGCTTACATTGCGGGACTCCCACGTAGCTGATGGTGGTTCTCATGCTGGGCACGAGTGCGTGTATGCCCAGGATCCTTAGAGGAGAATGGAGTAGAAGGGATTGTGGCGTGGCCATGTTCCCTGGGGGGTGATTTCTTGCTTTCTGTCTCTGTCTCTGTCTTTCCAGCGAGCACACATACCCTTTAGCAAAAATCTCTCTTAAAAAAAAGAAATACAGGGACCAGTAGTTAGCGTAATGGCTATGTCGCTGGACTCCCATGTAGTCAACCATGGTTTGAGTCCCAGACCTGGTGGCTTAAACTCACACCAGGCGCATGTTGCATGTGTACCCAAGATCCCGAGAGGAGAATGAAGGAGAAGGGATTGCAGCGTGGCCATGCCCCCCTGGGGGGGATGATTTCTTGCTTTCTGTCTCTCTGTTTATCTCTGTCTTTCTGGTGAGCACATGCGCCCTATAGCAAAAATGTCTCCATAAAAAAAAAAAAAGAAAAGAAAAGAAATACAGATTCTTGGGACCAATAGGTAGTGTAATGGTTACACTGCTTAACTACCACATAATTGACCATAGTTCAAGTCCCAGACCCAGTGGCTTAAAACTCACACTGGGCACATGTGTGCCCAAAATCCTGAGAGGAGAGTGAAGGAGAAGGGACTGTAGTGTGCCCAATCCCCTTGAGGGGTGATTTCTTGCTTTCTATCTCAATGTCTCTGTCTCTCCGGTTGGCACACATGCCCTGTAGCAAAATTCTCTCTTAAGAAAAAAAAAAAAAAGGACTCTTAGGCCTCACCCAGACCAGCTAATTCAGAATCTGCATCTTAACCATCTCTAGATGATGCATATGTAGATTATAGTTCGGAGTACTGCCCTAACCTGATCATCCAAACCCAGAATACACAATAGAATCATCTGAGGAACCTTTGAAATACACAGAAGCTGAGGTCCGACTCCTTACCAGTTCAGTGAGAATCCTTGGAGATAGGCCCTGGCCTCAAACATTTTGAAAGCTCCCTGGGAAATTATAATGTGCTCTAATTTGCCCTCATATTGAAAGGAACCCAGGATTAATAACAACTACAGTGCTTGGCACATGAAGGGTACTCAAATATTAGTTGAATGAATGAAGTACTAAGAATAAATTATTGAAAACCCTGATAGAAGAAAAAAGGCAGTTTTAAGTTTTGATCTTATTAAAAACTGTCCAATGGGGCCCAGCAGGAGGCACGGTGGTTAAGGCACTAGACTCCCACATTGCTGACTGTGGTTCGAGTCCTGGACCTGGTAGCTTGCTTTGTCACTTTTCCTTCCTCTCTCTGTGGTCAAAATTAAAAAATAAATAGTAATAACACCAAAAATAAATAGTAATAACACCAAAAATAAATAAATAAGATAATCCCCTTAAAAAAAGATTTATTTAATTGTATTTGTTAATATTACTTATGTTTTAATTTGCCCAAAGAGAGAGAGAAAGAAAAAATGAGAAAGCAAGCCACCAGGTCTAGGACTTGAACCATAGTTGGCCATATGGGAGTTCAGCACCTTAACCACCATGCCACCTGCCAGCCCCAAATAAATATTTCTTAAAAAAAAAAAAAAAAAAAACCTGCCCCAACTAGAAATCAATTTCCCAACTATATTAGGTTGGAATTTTCAGGGGATTCTTCATAGCCATGTGTCCTTGAAACCAGACCACCAGGATCTTGTGGGATTTACTGGAAATGCAATGCCCTATCTCAGGCCTCACCTGGGTTATGTAACCAGACCAGGTGATCTCCACACTGCAGTCTGAGAAGCACCACTCTGAACCTCTGTTCCCACCGTAAGGGTGGGGGAATGGCTGGCCTCACTTACCCACAGCTGAGGCACAAGGAGGAGCAGGTGAAGTACTCATCTGGGAAAAAGGAGCTGTGTGCCATCTGGTCATCAGGAATCTCACCGCTGAAGCGGTCACTCAGAGCCTGCCAAGAGAGGGTGACATGTGAAGGCCCATGGTGGAGAGCCTGGAACTCTGGTCCTTCCAATACTTGCTTTCTAAGACCCCTTCACTGCTAATGTATTTTTTCAGTTTTTGCTATAGGGCATGTGCGCTTGCCAGAGAGAGTAAAAGAGAAGGGGACAGAGAGAGAGAGATGGCAAGTGTCAAATCACCCCCTGGGGGAGGGGGTGGCCACATTGCAATTCCTGCTCCACCCTCCTCTTGGAATTTTGGGCATGCACACACACCCGCCATGATTCTCAAGCCACCAGGTCCAGCACTTTTAACTTCAAAGCTGGCTGTGTGGGATCTAGCACCTCAATCTATAGGCGACCTGGTGGCCTTTTAAGTTTCTTAAAATTTCTTTCTTCAGAGAGAGGAAGGCAAGTAGACACACACAAACACTCACACACATATATGCACCAATAGGGTCTTCACACCGTGATCTACCCCTAGGTCTGGCCAGCCCTGACTTATGGACATATACACCTGGCGGTCACAGGAGGTCTCTGGACTTGAACTGGAAACCCTTCCATGTGAGTCACCCACCATCAGGTTCCAGGCTGGTATACTTCTTACAAACACCACAGCAAAGAAACAGTAACTGCTGCTTACTCCCCTGGCCGTCTCGATGCAACTCGCGCCAGTCCTCACCACAGGAAACCTCGGGGAAAACCAGTCTATTTCCCAAGGTGTCAAAAGTAAGCAGCTACTGTTCTCTCCTAATTGCCTTGGAGGTTAGCAACACTTCACACTCAGCCTTTTATTGAACACCACCACAAATATGAACTCATTTCATCTTTATGAAGCTGCAACCAAGAAACCAAGAGGTGAGAGAGTGGCTCCTCTCTAACTCAGGGGCAGAGCCAAGAAGTGAGTTGGGAGTTTCCTGGGCTTCTAGCCCAGTTCTGACCACAGGTGTTCACCTAGAATCTACTAGACCGCAGAACTATCTTGATGTGGAAAAATGTCATCAGCCAAAAGACTAAAAGAATTACTATAGTGTAAACAGTGTACAGTGGCAGCTGTTTATCAACTGTACAAACCTAAAAGATAGCAAATGGCCAAAATAAATGCCAATAAAAAAGATAAAGTATTCACAGAGCAAACTGAAAATTTAATGTTGAAAGGTTGCTTCTATCTCTAATTCTCTGTTTTCACCCATTAAAGTATTCTTCAAGCTGATTAAACGCATGGGCTTTCTAGATTTAAAAATCATTAGTGAGGCAAGCAGGAGGTGTGGTGCTTAAGGCAATGGATTCCCACAGTCAACCACGGATCAAGTCCCAGACCGGCAGCATGAAACTCATGCCAGGTACATGTGCGTCCATGCCCCAAATCCCAGAGAATGGAGGAAAAGGGACTGTGGTGTAGTCATCCCCCTGGGGGGTGATTTCTCACTTTCTGTCTGTCTCTCCAAGTGCACACATCCCATAGCAAAAGTCTCTCTCTCAAAAAAAAAAAAGAAAAGAGGGAACCAGCAGTTAGTGTAATGGCTATGTCACTGGACTCCCACGTAGTCGACCGCGGTTCGTGTCCCGGACCCGGTGGCTTAAAAAACTCACGCCGGGCGCGTGTGCGTGCGTGCCCAAGATCCCGAGAGGAGAATGGAGGAGAAGGGATTGCAGCGTGGCCATCCCCCCCTGGGGGGTGATTTCTCGCTTTCTGTCGCTATGTCTCTCTCTGTCTGTCTGGTGAGTGCACGCACCCTATAGCGAAAACCTCTCCAAAAAAGAAAAGAAAAGAAAAGAAATCACTAGTTGCAGGGCCAGCAGGTAGCATAGTAGTTAAGGCACTGGACGCTCACATGGTTGACCATGGTTCAAATCCCAGACCCAATGGCGTGGCACTCACACCGGGTGCATATGTATGCGTGCCCAAAATCCCGAGAGGAAAATGGAGGAGAAGGGGTTGTGGTATGGCCATCCCCCCCACGGGGGGTGATTTCTTGCTTTCTGTCTCTCTGGCAAGCACACATACCCTATAGCAAAACCTCGCAAAATAAATAAATAAAATTTAAAGACTCTTTCAGGGGGCCGGTAAGTGGCATGGTGGTTGAGGCATGGACTCCCAGATGGCCAACTACAGTTCAGTTCAAGCCCTGGACTTGGCAGCTTGCTTTCTAATTTCCCCTGTCTCCTGATCACACTTTAAAATAATAATAATAAATTAAATTAAATTAAATACTAAAAAAAAAGAACATTAAAAAAAACTCTTCCTGGGACCAGCAGTTGGCGTAATGGCTATGTTACTGGACTCCCATGTAGTCAACCGCGGTTTGAGTCCCGGACCTGGGAGTTTAAACTCATGCCAGGCGCATGTGCGTGAGTGCCCAAGATCCTGAGAGGAGAAAGGAGAAGGGATTACAGCGTGGCCATCCCCCCTGGGGGTAATTTCTCGCTTTCTGTCTCTCTGTGTCTATCTGGCAAGTGCACGCACCCTATAGCAAAAAGCTCTCCAAAAAAACAAAAAACAGAAACACTCTTCCAGTTTCCCAGTCTGAGGCAACCAGGCTCCATTTGGGGGAGGGAAGAGCAAGATGCTTAAAACAGGACAAGATGGTACTTCCTTTATTAAAGGGTAGAAGAAACTTTCAGATGGTACTTGGAAAAAAAAAAAGGCTGCTTTCAGAACTAAAGTTCTTAGAACTAAGGTTCTTAAGCTCTTAAGAGGATTTCACTTAATGAGAAATTATTTAAGGTTCCTTTTCCTGTCTTCTGTTTCTTTTGTTTTGTTTTGTTTTAAATTATAGAGCACATGTGCTCACTGCTGGGAGAGAGAGAAAGGAAGGAGAGAGAGCAAAAGAGAAAACCACTCCCCGGGGGAATGGCCATGCCACCATCCTTTGTCTTCCTTTCTCCTTTGGGGATTTTGGACGCACATGTGACTGGCATGTTTCTCAAGCCATTGTCTGGGACTCAAACCACAGAGTCTCAGACCCAGTCTGTAGAGTCAGTCATATGAGATCCGGCTGTCTTAACCACCACACTACCTGGCTGGCCCACTTTTTCCTATTTTCAGTGGAGTCTCAATACTTGGGAAAAGTATTGTAAGGCAAACTTAAGTGCTTCCAAAGCACGTGGTATCAATGGAGTAGCAAGGAGCACACTGGAGGTGCAGCCTCACCCAAGGGCATATTCAAATCCAGGTACTGAAGGGTAACACGCAGGCCCTGAGACACCATCCGTCAACTCTCCAAGTGGCAATCTTTGACTCAGACTAGTGAAAAATCATCTGACCAACAGGGAACCCGCAGTTAGCGTAATGGCTATGTCGCTGGACTCCCACATAGTTGACCTCAGTTCTCATCCCGGACCTGGTGGCTTAAAACTCACGCCAGGCGCGTGTGCGTGCATGCCCAAGATCCCGAGAGGAGAATGGAGGAGAAGGGATTGCGGCGTGACCATCTCCCTTGGGGGGGGTGATTTCTCGCTTTTTGTCTCTCTGTCTCTCTCCGTCTGTCTGGCGAGTGCACGCGCCCTATAGCAAAATAAGTAAATAAATAAATAAATGTGGTTACTACTTGTGTAGATTTTTTAAAAGAATTATATAGTTTATTCATTCATTTTAATTTGACCAGAGAGAGACACAGAGAGCGAGGGAATGAATGTGAGAAAGCAAGCCACCAGGTCTGGAACTTGAACTGGGGCTGGCCATGTGGGAGTGCTCTAGCACCTTAACCACCACACCTGCTGGCTTCGACCACTTGTGTAGATTACCTGGCACAAACAGCACTCATGATAAGTTAACTGCAGTTATTCATATCATTTTCATTGTTTTTAGTGATGAAAATTGTTTTCTTTTCTTTTCTTTTCTTTTTTTGTTTGCTACAGAACATGTACACTCGTCAGAGACAGAAAATGAGAAAGCACCCCTCAGGGGGACAATGAGACTTGACAGTGAGGTCTCAATCCCTTCTCCATTCTCCTCTCGGGATTCTGGGCATGCAGGTACCTGCACCCACTGTGTTTTTTAAGCCACTGGGTCTGGGACCCAAAATGCACAGTCAGCCGTATGAGATCCAGCTGCCTTTACCACCACGCCACCACTGGCCCTGAATATTGTTTTATTTTCTTTTTTAAACACTCTAACTAATCCAGGTAATGCAGGGATGATGTGAACTCTTCTCCTTTCCAGTCAACTAGCCCTCACATTTGACTGTATTTGTGGGTTCATGTTTACCTGTAGAAAAGATGCTCATGTATCTAGTCAGGCAATAAAGCAAAAAGAGAGCTAAGGAATGTAGAAACCACTATTTAAAAAGGAGAGCATTTTTTAGCCTTAGAATCTTGTCCTTTTTTTTTTGAAAGATTTTTGCTATAGGGCACTTGCCAGAAAGACAGAGAAAGTTAGACAGAAAGTGAGAAATCACCCCCTGGGGGGAAGGCCACACTGCAATCCCCTCTCCTCCATTCTCCTCTTTGGGATTTTGGGCATGCACACACATGCACTCGGTGTGGGCTTCAAGCTGCCAGGTCCTGGACTTGAACTATGGTTGAATACGTGGAGTCCAGCAATGTAACCACTATGTCATCCATTGGTCCCGAGCCTTGAATTTTTTTTTTTTTAACTTTATTTCTTCCATCAGAGAGGCACCCCAACAACATCTTCACACTGCAACCACCCCCAGCCTCAGTCATTCTTGATCACAGACACAGGCAGGTATGCCTACTGTATACAGGGAGACCTTGGTACATGAACCGAGGACCTTCCGATGTGGGCTCAGCATCCAGAGCCCTGTGTGACTGCTGCACCACAATGGTTGGCCTCAGAGATTTTTTTCTTCTCCTTTTTTTATAATTTAAAGGTTTTTTTTGTTTTGTTTTGTTTTTAAATGAGCAAAAGAGACTAAGCAAAATACAGCTACTCCAACAGGATGTCAATATCCACTCCCAGCTTCAGCCAGCCCCAGACCATGGGTACAAGTATGCCTGGTGCACTCAGGGAAGCCTCCGGCCACAAACTCAGAACCTACGCACGTGA